TTATGTGGGGCCTGGGAAAGTATAAGGGTTATGTCTCTGTGAGCATTCACTGTGTGTCCTGAGAGCAATGGTGTTACACTGCTTGTAGAAGATGCCCTGCTAAGTCAGCTAGGAGGCCACAGGCCCAGAGCCGGTCTTCATGATTAGAATGAAAACATTGGGTGCCAAGTGTTCAAGGAGGACGGTGTGTTCCCTGGTCCTAGACGCTTTATCTTAAGAGTAACTTTCCAGAATGTTCTGAGGCACACCCTTCATATGGGCTCTTGGTTTGGGGACAGTGGCATATCACTCTCCTCCTGGAGGCCCTCGAGGACATGAGCATCCTACAGGCTCTGGAAGGATTGACAGGAAGAGACCTGCCAATTCCTGCTGAACTCAGGAGTTCTGAATGGCATTTGACCGTAGGTTTTGTTTTTCCACACTTGTGAACTTCTCTCCTTTTTGGGAGATGCCGTCTCCAAGGAGAATTCCTGAGGAGGGATTCAGGCAGATAGACAGGAACTACATGGTCAGATCTGGAGAATAAGGTCTGGCCATGAACTCTGCAGGACAGAAATACTGCAGCTCTAAAGAGATTTGTAACAAATCCTGCTGCTAAAGTAAACTTTAGAGTCTGGGCTCTCTGATTTTCTCCTTACTAGAGAAAGTATGTGTCCTGAAGACTGGGGTCAGGGAAAGCAGGAGGAGGAGGGAGGATAGTGGGGAGAGAAGGAGAAAGGAAAAGGAATATATACTATTATGAGGTAATTTACATATAAGGTAAATATTGAAATGACCACTTTACAGATGAGAAAACTGAGGTTCAGAGATGTCTGTTCCTTATTAGATTTACATAGCATCTGTGACAGTGATATGAGCATGACAATAAAAGTAAAATTCAGAAACCAGAATACCTGCTCAGCTCCAATTTCTTTCTTTGGTCACATAAAGGCCATCTCCTTTGACTGGCCAGTTTGAGTTGATATCTGCTCCTGATCATCAGTTGCATTCCTGCTGGCTCCAACTCATGGTAACCCATGTGTGTAAGTAGAACAGTGCTCCATAGGATTTTCAGTATAGATCACCAGGCCTTTTCTCTGAGGCACCTCAGTGTAGACACAGACCTTCAACCTTTGGTTTACAGCCAAGTGAGCTTAATCATTTTCATCATCCAGGGATTCAACCCGTGCTCTAAATTTATGGAATGGACAGATCAGTAAAATAAAGGTAGAGAAATTGATGGGGCCAAAATTTATCCTAGAGAAGTGAGGGTTAAATGCCACAGGGGAGGAGCAAGGTTTGCCCTCATTTGGAGTGTTAAGTTGGAACCAGCATGGTTTGAAGGCATGGGTAGGTTTTGCTGTAGCTTAATGGTTTACAAATGTTATTTCTTGTCACATAGCTGAATTGAAAACCGCACATGTCTGTGATTAAATATTATGGCTGCAGAGCATATGTGCTAATAATACAGTATGTGGGGCCTGTGGGCACTTCAGTGCTGTGACCTCACATGAGGGTGTGTTATACAGGCTTTTTAACATCACTGAGGATTTGGTGTTGTTTTATGATTACATTTGGCTTCAAGTGTTTGGTTTCCCTTTTTAAAGGAACAGAGTTTTAAGGGGAGTGATGGTTTAAAAGCTTTGATAGCAAGCCTTTAAAAAATTCTTCATAGGTGCACTTTTGCTCTGGGCTGCCCCTAAATTGGACTTTGTTTCAGAATAGGCACTGGAGAAGTAGCGAAGGTCATTAGCAGAGCAAAACAACACCAAAGGCTTTGCAGATACTGCTCTGTCCTGTTACAATGTTGCTGTTGAGGAGTCTGGCATTGGGGAGAGACTGAGAATTCCTTATTTGGGGAACAGCCAATGAAACTACACAGATACTGACATTAAGACATTCTTTCTTGAGATTATGCAGCATTGTTGCAAAGCAAAAAAGGCAGGGGCATAAAGGACCAAATTCAGCCTTCGCACTGGGGGCGATTCCCAGAAAAGTCTCTTAGCAGAAGGCTACTAATGGGTGTTGGTGACGTTTCCCTGAGTTCTGCTGAATCGGCATCAGGGTGCCCTCACCATCAGGCAGACACGGAGAAGCCAAACACTAGGGACCAATTCAGGAGGGTATTGCTCTCCACAGACACACACTGAAGTGGGACACAATCTTCAGCTGCAAGCAGCCTGGAATGCTGATTCAACAACCAAATGCATCTAATCTGATTTCAACCAACAGTTCGCAGAACAAGGTAGAGAGCTTCATGTTTACCTTTTATTTGAATGGTTTCTGAAGAAAAGTAAAGGGACACAACAAAGAACAGCAGGAGTGGACCCTTGAGAATAGATTGGGGTGAGGTTACTATGGGGAGTAAGGTCTCTGCAGGGAGTTACACAGAGTTTAGGGAATGAGATATAGTCTGTCAGGATTGAAGAGTGGATGAAATCGGAACATATTTGTGAGATAACAATTTGGAGAATTTTTTCATCATAAGGTAGGACGTCTAGTTACAGGGACAGGAAATGGGGCAGGCTGAGTTATGAAAGCCATTCTCAGAATTTGATCCAAATTGATGCTGAGCTGGTGTTATCTTTGAGCAACCCTGAGGAAGTCGTCTTGTGGTTGTGTCTCCCACAGCCTGATGTCTAAGGGGCAGATTATTGTGGTGTGGTGAGCTTCCAGGTGAGAGTGCCGTCTTTCTGGTTGGTGTTTTGCATAGATTTGGGGCTCAGGTTAGAACATTTTTTTGTAAGGTGTGTTTTAAAAAAACTTTAAGGGTCATTTTCAAAATAATGGGATTGATTTTATTTATTGTCTGTTGTGTGGGAATCTCTTTGTATGTTGCACAATAAGAAAAAGAATGAAGAAACCGGCATCACTTTGCCAAATTTTGAAGCTATTAAGGTAAAATTGGTGAAGCAAAACATTTTGTGTAGATCAGAATAGGATTCAGTCTGAAGCTGAATTATTTCTTCTCTTGGACATCATTCTTTTAAGAAACCCAGTGAAAGTAAATATTTTCATGATCTCTTACCCTGTGTGATGAGTTATTTTGGCTGGAATCCTTCTAAAGAGGGTGGGATGGGGATGGGCCAAATAATGTTGCTGCTGATTTCCTGCCTCTGTCTCCTGGTGGCATCCATGAAAACATCAAGCTGTTCTGCTCAGCTTCCAGGGGCAAGTGCTTTGTGGAAACTTCAGCTTAATGGGCAGTGACAGTGAAATGCCATCCCAGAGCGAGGCGGCCAGCCTCGGTTGCTGCTCTGCTGTGTGTTTTTGTGCCTTCAGGAATGTGTGGATGTAGCAAATGACAACACCGAGTGTCCTGTCCCCGGTTATGCCCCAGGCCCTTTTTCTTTGTGTTGGCTGTTTTCCAAGTCTGAATGATTGCCTTTGCTGAACCTTCATTATCCACAAGGGGTGGCAGGAGGCAGTCTGGAGGGAGAGAAACAGCCTTTCCCATGGGCAGTATTCCAACACGTTATGAGTTTTCACATCACTGGATTTCACGTTCTGTAAGGATCCCAGCACTAAGGACTATATACTTAGTAGTAACACAATTTCTTCTTATGGAAAAAAAATTTCAGTTGGACATCAAGCATCACAAAATAGGTTTTAGAGTTGGAAAGGACCTCAGAGATCATTCTAGTTTAATGACATGTTTGTAGAGGTGGAGGCTATACGCTGCTGGGATTGGCAGGGCAGTGGTCAGCATTCTAGTTCCCCAACCCCCTGGTCAGTGCTGTGCTCCTTCAGCTCATTGTCTCTGGTGTAACCATCAGAGCAATTCAATCATTTATGTTATTATGTTAAATTGTGCTTGAAGTTTTTTTTTATGCCTGTGGTGGTTGTGGCTCTGTGCGGAGGAGTCGGTTCTGACTTATAGCAACCCTGTACAGGGTTTCCGAGGCTGTAAATCTTTATGGGAGCAGAGAGCCTCGTCTGTCTCCCGCAGAACAGCTGGTAGTTTTGAATTGCTGACCTTGTGGTTCGCAGCCCGATTGAAAAATACATGTCCACACAAAGATATGTACGCAAATGTTTATTGCAGCTCTATTTGCAGTCGTCGCAAAGTAGGAGCAATCCAAATGTTCATCTACTGATGAATGGATAAACAAAATGTGATATATTCATGCAACGAGCTATTATTGAGCCTTAAGAAAGAACACAGTGCTGATACATGTTACAACCTGGATGAACCTCAAAAACACTGTACTAAGTAGAAGAAGGACTCCTGGTGTGGTGCTGTAGAATCAGCACTGGACTGTGAACCACAAAGTCGACAGTTCAAACCTACCAGCTGCTCCTCGGATACCCTTTACAAGGTCGCTGTGAGTTAGAACCAACTCAGTGGTCCTTAACAAAGTAAAAGAATCGATCACAAAAGGTCACATATTATATGATTCCATTTATATGAAATCTATAGAGTAGGGTAAATCCATAGAGAAAGAGGATAATATTAGTGGTTGCCAGGGCTTAAAGGGAGAATGACTGCTAATGGGTATGGGGTTTCTTTTGGAGTGATGAAATGTTCTGGAACCAGACACGGGTGATGATTGCACAACTTCATCAAATATACTTAAAATCACCAAGTTGTGCATGTCAAAAGGATGAATTTTTTTTGTTACATGATTTATATCTCAATAAAGTAGTTACTTAAAAAAGATCTTGGTTGTGCCACTTACAAGCTGGATAACATTAGATAGTAGCCCTAAGCCCAAGTGATCTCAGCTGAGAATTGCGGATCCTAGTCTTACTTCACAGTGTCATTTAGATCACTATTATTGAAATTTGAAAATGTTGCTCAGTTGTAAACCTCATATACACTTTGGACTGCCCATGATAAATGCGCCAAGACTTGGTTTGAATCAAAAGTTCAAAAGTGCTACAGCTTCTAAACATTTCTTTGAATCCAGTTAATCTGTAAATCTGGGTGCTTTTACATCTGATTATTTCTCAGAACTAAAAATCTGTAGTAAATTATTTTTCCTCATTTTATACTCCTGTTTTATCTTTTTCCTTTACTAGAGACAACATATCTGATCCACTGACAAGACTGCAGTTGGATCCCAAAGATGTGCTCCACGAACCCAGGCAACTGGGTTACGTTTGATGATGACTCCACTTTTCAGTCTTCTCAGAAGTCAAAGAATTTCCCTCTGGAACATCAAAGTGTCTGCAGACCTAAAGGACTCAAGCTGAACCTTTCTGGCCCTAGGGAATTTTCCAGTGGCTCTTCCTCCACCTGCAGCACCCCGCTCCCATCTCCCATCGTGGACTTTTACCTCAGCCCAGGACCTCCAAGCAACTCCCCTCTTTCTACACCTGTCAAAGACTTTCCAGGCTTTCCGGGCATCCCCAAAGCTGGGACTCATGTACTTTATCCTCGCCCAGAAACATCTTCAAATAGTCCACTCACAACACCAGGAACAGCTTCTTCCTTATTACCTACTAAACCAGCCTGTTTACCCCAGGCTTCCTGGCCCAGTGAACACTCATGTGCACATCCAGCTCCCAAAGTGGGTCTTCTAGAAGAAACTAGCCCTCACGGGTTCCAAAGCGACACTCCACAGTTTCAGTATTTTCAGGATGACTGTGCCTTTTCAAGTCCGTTTTGGAAAGATGAAGGCAGTGCTCCCCAGTTAACCTATGACCCCCAAGGAAGCAGGAAGACATTCTCATCGAGAGACAAGGAGACACCCATCGATCAAAAAAGCCTCAATCAATGCTCACTCAACTATATCTGTGAGAAGCTTGAACACCTCCAGTCCACTGAGAATCAAGGGTCACTTGGGAGTGTGTCAATGCAGTGTCTGTACGCCGAAGACACTGCTTCTTCCTTCGTCCCCCACACACTCTTTAGGAGTCAGCCAAAAGCTGGCTGGTCTTTCATGTTGAGAATTCCTGAGAAGAAGAACATGATGTCATCCAGGCAGTGGGGACCAATTTTTCTGAAAGTATTACCTGGAGGGATTTTGCAAATGTATTATGAGAAGGGGTTAGAGAAACCATTTAAAGAGTTACAGCTTGATCCACACTGCAGACTTTCTGAACCCAAAGTTGAGAACTTTAGCGTGGCAGGAAAAATCCATACTGTGAAGATTGAGCATGTGTCGTACACGGAAAAAAGGAAGTACCATTCTAAGACAGAAGTAGTTCATGAAGCAGACATAGAGCAGATGTTGAAGTTGGGGTCCACAGACTACCATGATTTCCTCGACTTTCTTACTACTGTGGATGAAGAGCTGATGAAACTGCCAGCTGTTTCAAAACCAAAAAGGAACTATGAGGAACAAGAAATTTCCCTGGAAATGATGGACAACTTTTGGGGAAGGATCACTAAAGAAGGACAGTTGGTGGAAAGTGCTGTGATAACGCAAATCTGTTGCCTATGCTTTGTGAATGGGAACACAGAATGCTTTTTAACCTTGAATGACCTTGAGCTGCAGAAGCGAGATGACCGCTATTTTGAAAAGGAGCCAGAAAAGAAGCAGGGGATTGACATCCTTGACTATCATTTTCATACATGTGTGAAAGCACAAGAATTTGAGCAATCAAGAATCATTAAGTTTGTTCCTTTGGATGCCTGTCGGTTTGAGCTGATGCGTTTCAAGACTTTATATCATGGTGAAGACCTTCCTTTTTCCGTGAAGTCTGTGGTCGTCGTCCAGGGAGCGTATGTGGAGCTCCAGTCCTTTGTCAACATGGCCCCATTGGCTCAGAGACCATCATCCCAAGCTGGTCCTTTGAGGTCCTGTGACAACATAATGATACACTTTCCTGTCCCATCACAGTGGATCAAGGCCCTCTGGACCATGAACCTCCAGAGACAGAAGTCTCTGAAAGCCAAAATGAACCGCCGGGCATGTCTGGGGAGTTTACAGGAACCCGAGACAGAACCTGTCATACAGGTCACTGTGGGGTCAGCAAGATATGAGAGCGCCTACCGGGCTGTGGTGTGGAAGATAGACCGGCTTCCTGACAAGAATTCAAGTAAATATTCAACCCCCAAGTGGATTTTTATGTGAAGTTCTCTGGGGGTTGAAATTCTACTCATAGCGGCTTGTTGGGGCCACACTTAACCACCACCCAGTGTCAGATCTGGGTCAGAGGGGACAATATACTTAGTCCTGCAACTGCTTTGTTTTCTCCTCCTGTGCTTATTGATTTACTCTTTTTTAAAAACCATAGCAAATAGCATCCTAGGCTAGGATTTGGTTGTAGGTGGTAGCACTGAGGGAATGTTTATAGTCATGTCTGGTTGGGCTTCTTGACATCAACCACAAGTATTAGAAATGTTACTAATGTATCTTAGGTTCAGTCCCTTATTATGTCGCAGATTTTAAGATCTGTCATCTATGGATTGCTTGGAATGAATTGTTTTTATTTTATTTTATTTTTTTGTATGCTCAATCAGTGCCACTTTCTATTTTAGGTTTTGCTCCCTGCTATGTGAAATAAGACAGCCTTCCATTTGGTCCCAAAGTTGATTCCAATGGCAGAATTAACCGATTTAGTCTTCTCAACTGGTTATTTTAGAATTAGGTGTACACAGCTCAATTGTTACAAGGCAAATTCAGTCAATCTTTGATTTTGCAACAAAAACTGTTAATCTAGAAACTATAATAGAATTAATATTATTAACCTAGGAACTATTAGAACTTTGAAAAGACACCACATTTATTTTAGGATAACAAATTACTAGTGGGTGTAATAACATTAGAGCAAAAAAGCAAATTTTGAAACTATAGCCCCCCACCCTATTTTCATTGACTTATATTCAGCAGAACACGGGGGTATAGAGCTAAATTGGGAGATAGATTTTGGGGATCCGGGTTGATGCATTCATTCATTCAATTGAACCTTTATTGAGCATTTACTGTGGACCAGGTGTTAAGAATAAAGACAAATATGATTTGACCCCCCACCCCATTCCAAATAGTTCACAGCCTGGTGTAAATTGCCTCCAGGGTCACCAAGCTTTGGACTTCAGAGAGGCATTTTTGTTTGGGGTTTCCCTGTAGTAGTATTTCTTACATGCGTGTCAGAGTACCCTGAGAGCTTTTAAATAAAACTGATGTTTAGACTTCATTCTGTACCAATTAAGTAAAATTCTCTGGGGGTTGGGGTCCAGGCATCAGTAGTTTGTAAAAGCTCTCTGGGGAATCTACTGTGTAGTCAAGCTGAGAGCACTACCGTTTAATGAGATGCATAAAGGATTCGCCCTGCCGGCTAGTCCTGGGGGATCAGAGGGGCATGAGGGTGGTGGTGGTGGTTGGTTCCAACTGATAATAACCCCGTAATAGGGTTTCTGAGGCTGTAAATCTTCACTGGAGCAGAATGCCTCACCTTTCTTCTGAGGAGTGGCTGGTAGATTTGAGCTGTTGACTTTATGGTTAGCAACCGAACGCATAAGGTAGAGGATCTCAGAGAACCTGCTCCTGCCTCTCCACCTCCAGGAGACTCTGAGGGAATGCTCTAACTGGTCTTGACCAGGGAATCCAAGCTTATTTCCCAACCTGAAAACCTTCACAAATCATTCCTTTCTCATTTTGGGAAACTAAAGCTTCTTCCCCCAGAGTGAAGGGTAGACCTAATTGATTCAATCAGAAAGAATTTATTGAGAAGAAGGCGCTTTCATTCATTCAACAAATTCCCACTAGGTTTCTTTTAGGTGCATGCTGTATTCCTGGGTCCTTGGAAGTTAGAGACAAGCATGATCCTTACTCTCCAGAAATGTAACAGCCTAGTAGTGAGACAGACACAGAAGCAAGTATCCAAATACACCATGGAAATGTGCTTTATTCCAGCATGTACAAACATACCATCCGAATCTCAGAGAAACTGCTTGGAGGTCTTAGGGAAGGCTTTGCTGGAGAGGTGAAGAAGAATAGTCTAGAAGAATGAGTAGGATGTCATCAAGACAGCAACACAGAACCCCAGGCGTGTAGCAGGGAAGTTTTACTTCAATTCTGAAGCTTGTTGAGTGGTGGGAGAGGAACCAGCACATGAAGGACCTCGGGAGTCGTGTCATGGGGTGCAGGCTTTATTCATGGTCCACAGAGCATCAGACAGGTCTTCTGGCATGGCTAGGGCGGAATCCTCCCTTGCTTTAGAACAGCCTGCATGCAGGGTGGAAGAGATTTCAGAAGCCTATTAAAGATATAGGGAGGCTGTAGGAGGTAAGATATGCTGAACACAGAGAAGAGGAGATAAGCATTCAAAGGAGGTGCCCCTGGATGTGATGGCAGATTATTGTTTTGGGGGGAGAAGGAAAGGTGGAAGGGAGAAAGTCAGGTGGTGCTGATGCCATGAGCAGAAAGAGCCTGGGATCCCCTGACCACTCATCCTTTTAAAATCTAGGTCAGTGTTTTTCAATCCTGGCTGTGCATTAGAATGATTTGTTGTTATTGGTTGCCATCAAATCAGCTCATGACTCCATGTATAATGGGATTGGATCATTTGTGCGCCATAGGATTTTCATTGGTTGATTTTTGGAAGTGGATTACTACACCTTTCTTCCTAGTCCATTTTAGTCTGAAAGTTCCACTGAAGTCTGTTCAGCATCATAGTAACACCAGGCCTCCACTGACAGGCAGGTGGTGGCTGTGAATGAGATGTTCTGGCTGGAACTATAACACAGGTCTCCACAGTTGTTGTAAGTGCTGTTGAGTCAGTTCTGACTCTTAGCGACCCTGTATAAAAGTTCCAAGGAGCAGCTAGTGAGTTTGAACTGCCGACCTTGTGGTTCAAATCAACTTTGCGGTTCAGTGCTTATCCTACAGCACCATTCCTGCAGCTCCAAACCAGGACTCCACATAGAAAGTGAAAATTCCACCACTGAGCGACCACTGCTTTCTTTGAGTCATTGGAGGTGGTGGTGGTTGTGTGTCACCAAGCTGGTTCTGACTCATAGCGACCCTGTATAGAGCTTCTAAGGCTGTAAATCCCGCAGAAAGCCTCATCTTTCTCCCACAGAATGACTGGTAGATTTGAATTGCTACCTTGTAGTTAGCAGCCCAGTTTATAATCCACTATGCTACTAGACTCGTTGTTGTTAAGTGCTGTCAAGTCGGTTCTAACCCATAGTGACCCTGTATAGGGTTTCCAAGGAGCGGCTGGTGAGCTTGAACCACCGACCTTGCAGTTCAGATGGATTTGCAGTCTGGCACATTAACCTACAGCACCATACCAGGACTCCTACCAGACTCATTAGAGCCTTTAAAACAGTCATATTCAGACATCGTCCTACTCCTCAGACTCGGGGGGGGTAACCAACTTTTACTTCTGGGGTCTGTAAAAGGCTTTCCCAGACCACCAGGGTTGAGAACTACTGACCTTGCCCCTCTGCTGTGAAGCCTGTTATGGTCTCCTAGGCAGAGCTCATTTTTCCCAGCTCTGTGTAACCATGTGCTTCCAGAACTCCATCACTTAATAAAGTATTGCCATGAGACCACTGAGAACAATGACAAGAATGGACATTCCCAGAGAGGCTGACTGGACTTGATCTTGACCTTGAGGGATTCCTTGGGAAACCTGTCATAACACCAGCCCACACAGAACAAGGTCTTATAAGTATTTTCATCAGACAGTGGTAATTCACTAACCAAATTCTTTGGGATCCAAGTTGCTTTCTTCAGATCAGGTCTGTGCACAGAGGAGGCCAAGGAAGAAGGCAGTGGGAATGTCAGGTAGTCCTGAAGGTGGTGGGGCTCCAAGCTGGCCTGGGGTGGGGGTGGGGCTCATCTGAGATAATCTGATCCTGCCCCCTCAGACTTCCTCAGTAATTCAGAAGCAGGGGGGCATGCCCTGAGAAGCTACTGCACAATTTGCTTTCAGAGAGAAGTATAGAAAGAGTAAGGGTGGGGCAGTGAGGACATCTTTGTCTTAGTGTGTTACAATGTAGATGCTGATTGATGGGATCCGGGATACTGTGTTTCTAACAAATGCTCCAGTGATGTCAGCGCTTGATGCCGGAGGACCAGAGTGGCAGGTACTTGATGCATCGCTGTCTTTACTATGTGAGCGTTGAGTATAGAGAATAAAAAGTGTTTTGCTTTTTTTTTTTTTAGCTTTTAAAACAGTTACCCTTCTCAAGTTAGTTTTTAAACATCTATTTTTAATTATTGGCAAAAAAAAAAAATCAAAGATGGAAATGAACAGACTGTAAGTGTATTTTGCATTAATATAAATTCTTTTTTCTTTTGTTTCCCTTCACTCCTGGGGATTTATGAGATAATGTTTCATATTCATTAAATCACTGCATGTGATTTCAGGAGAAATGGTAAGGGCTGCTGCTCCACAGATGTCTTTTCTAACATGACAATGCTGGCTACTCCTTTTACTATGGATTCAGTAAGTACCTCATTGTTGTTGTGTGACGTGGAATCGGTTCTGGCTCATAGCTACCCTGTGTAGGGTTTTTGTGGAATGGCTAGTGAGCTTGAACTGCCAACCTTGAAGTTCAAATCGACATTGCAGTTCAGCTCATTAACCCACAGTGCCACACCAGTACACAAAGTGTGAATGATGACAGGAACCTTTTCCTAACACCTGACATTTTGAGTATGGAGGGAGGAAAGAAAAAATAGAGAGATATGATACTAATGTAGCCAAAGAAGGTGTGTATAGTGGCATGAATCTGAGGAAAGTCAATTAACAAATAGGTCTATTTCTAATTTCTCAGTTTCACTATTTGAAAATACATCCATACAGCCTGCCTTTGTTTTTGCTCTTTGCTCATTGGTAGCTCTCTCCTCCCCGTCTTGCATCATCCCCTCTAACATTCATTTCGTCTATCTTCCAACAATTCATTTTCAGATGTGAGGTATTCATGTTCAAGAGGGATCAGAAATCAACTAGCTGTTTTTTGAAAAACTTTATAATGTGGTTTTGGTGAAAGTTTACAGGGCAAATTCGTTTTCCATTTAACAGTTTATACACGTTTTGTTTTGTGAAGCTGGTTACAATCCTCTCAGTGTATTAGCACACTTTCTACCTCCTCTCTGGGTTCCCCTTTTCCACCCATCTTTCTTTCCTACCCCGTTCTGCCTTCTGAACTTTATTTTGAAGCAAATATTTCCCTTTTGCTCTCTATTGACTGTTGGTCCTGAGGAGTGCATCCCTCCCTGGTGTTACTGTTCTTTTGAAAGGCCTGTAGTTTAACAGAAAATTGATCTCTGGAATTGGTTAAGTTCCAGGCTTGAAGGGTGTGTAAGAGTTACAGTCTCAGGGTTCTACCCATCTATGCCATATCAGTAAGTCTGATCTTTTTATGGATTTGAATTTTGTTCTACTCATTTTCTTTTCTTTCTTTCACTCTGTCCAGGACCTTCCATGGTGATCCTGATCAGAGCAGTCAGTAGATAGTGGTAGCTGAGCATTATCTAGTTTTTCTGGTCTCAGAGTCATGGAAGCTGTGTTTTATGTGGTCCTTTGGACCAATTGTTTCCTTAAGTCTTTGATTTTCTTCACTCTTCTTTGCTCCAGATTACGGAGAAACCAATGGTTGCACTTTAGATGGCTGCTTACAAGTTTTTAAGATCCCAGTTGTTATTCAAAGTAGGGTAGAGAACACTTTCTGTGTGGGTTCTGTTATTCCAATTGACCTAGATAACCCTTGAGACTGGTGCACAGCCCCAAAGCCCAGTAAATCATTTCTTTAAGGTGTTTAGTTATGGCTAAGAACTTTTCAGAATTCTGCCCTCTGTATGTTCTACTATACTCATGGATATTCTTGCAGCGCATAGAAATGCATTTGTGGAAACATCCTGTGTCATATATACAGAATCCTGGTGTGGCACTTTAGGATAAGCACTAAGCTGCTAAAAGTTTGGCTGTTCTAACCCACCAGCCACTCCTTGGAAGCCCTGTACAGGATAATTATGAGTCAGAACTGACTTGATGGCACATAGCAACAACAACCTGTATGAGAGTTGGAATCAGCTGGAAGGTGATGGGTTTATCCTGAGAGTATTAACAAAAGAAAGTCATTGCTGTCCAGTCTATTGTGGTTCATAATAACCCTACAGAATTTCCCAGATCGTAATCTTTATGGAAGCAGGCTGCCATGGTAGAGTGCTTTGACCATTGTGCCACCAGGGCTCCTTAACACCTTAACATAAAGAAAATAAATATTCTTACAACTGGACCAATAGCCAATATCATGATAAATAGACAAAGTATTGACGTTGTCAAGGATTTAATTTTCCTTGGAGCCACAACCAAGTCCCGTGGAAGCAGCCATCAAGACATCAGATGACATACTGCATTGGGCGATTCTGCTGCAAAATACCTCTTTAAAGTGTCAAAAACAAAGATAGTAATTTTGAGGACTAAGGTGCACCTGACCCAAAACGTGGTATTTTTCAGTTGCTTCCTATGCATGCGAAACCTGAACAATGAATAAAGAAGACTGAAGAATTGATGTATTTGAATTATGCTCTTGGTGAAGAATATTTTATATACCACTGGCTTCTAGAACAGAGCCCTGGGGGTGCCATGCTTAAAGCACTCAGCTTCTAACCAAATCAGCAGTTCGAACCCATTAGCAGCTCCTTAGGAGAATATGATGCATGCTTTCAAAACAGCGTACAGCCTTGGAAACTGTATGGGAGAGTTCTACTCTATCCTATATGGAGGTCTCTGTGACTCAGAATTGGCTTTGATGACAATGGGTTTGGTTTTGGGTTTTTAGCCAGAAGATAAGCAAATCTGTCATGGAGGAAATATAGCCAGAATGCGAATGCTTCCTAGAAGCCAAGAAGGCGAGACTTAGCCTCACATACTTTGGATATGTTATCAGGAGGGACCAGTTCCTGGAGGACATCATGCATGATAAAGTGGAGGGTCAGTGATGAAAAGGAAGACTTTCAATGTGAGGGATTGGCACGGTGGCTGCAATAATGAGCTCAAACAGCAAGGATTGTGATGATGAAACAGCAGGACCAGTGTCTTGTTCATAGGGGAAACTAACTACAATAATTTCCAAAAACAGAGAGTGCCCCCTGGTGGTCAGTACTAGGCCAAATAACATGATTTTCCTCTATTTTAGCCCATTTCTTCATTCAACAACGTTGTGCTAGGGACACACAATGACCCCTGCTCTTGTGAAGCCCAAAATCTGAAGGAGGAATATGCCACTGTAGAGTATTTACAGTTTTTAAAAGTCTGGAAAAGTACGCCAGAAAACTTGAAAGGAAAAATGTTCTCCACCTTTACCAGATTCCTTTGAGAAAATTTTTCTAAAAACTTTTGTTCCTAATATTTTCAGAGTATTAGGTCTTTCACTTCAGTAAGAATTTTTCATTGTAAGATATTCCGAACCATTTTTCCTATAAAATGTGGATATCAGATTTGATAACTGTCTAATTTCACTTTTGGCTATGAAAATGTATAATTCACAGTCCTTTTATCAGCAAAAATCATAGTAATTAATGAAATGGATTTATAAATGATGACACTTTATAAGATAAAAATATGTGTCCAGCATGTCTATGTACCAGATACCTGCTCAGCACTATTTACTGCTCCGTGTCTGTCAAATGCTTTAACCTCAGAATACCTCTGCAAAGTTCATGTTATTATTATCTGTCATCATCTCTATTTTCAGGTAGAGAAACTGAGACCTAGAATTTAACAATGCCAGAATTAAGATGAAATGCATTTAGCTGTATCCTCAGTACAGACAGAAGACTAGAAAGGATAGAGAATATGGAAACCCCTTGGGTATAGGTGGGTGGGAATAGTTACCATCTTCTTGCATGATATGTGATCTGGGTGCCTGCAAGCACCTCAGTGGCCATCATTTTCATAGTCAACATGTAAATGGTATAAATTGGCTAAGGAGCATCTATTGATTCACTGACTGATGGCTTCCCAAGGCCTTTTTAAAACCTTAGAATTCTACTAGTCTCTACAAGGAACAGGTTGTAAGGAATGAAAGGCAATTTATCTTTTAAGAATTAAGTGAAATCCTTTAAAGCCTTGTTTTTGTGCCTACAGGTATGTTCTGATGGAAATGTTCTTTCTCCAGCTTTGTCAGTGGTATAGTACCTTAATCATTTGGCTGTTGACATTATTGTCACCTCACCTCATACAGTTATTTAAGTAAAATTAGGCACATTGGATATGTAGATGTTTTGAACAATGCATCAGAATCACAGAATACTTGTAAATTACTCCAGTGAATACATTGAAAACATACATTTTTTCCTCATTATAATGCACAAATGCACACACACTTTTATGAGCCATTTAATGTCGTGAATGCATCTGATGTCCTTGAGTCTTACATAGAGCCAGGCCTGGCATAGAGTAGCTGCTCAATAAATGAGAAATTGAATCAAATGAAAAGCATGTATTAGGTGGAAACATTGAAGACCAATGTGCTCATCTCTACATTGTATATCTGTTCTAGTCAAAGCTTTTAAAGAGTGTGATTGAGAATTATAATCATAAATAATAACCTGTTCTACTGAAGAGAGTATCCTTGACTTTTCTACAGAATATTTTCTGAAATGTAATACGATTTCAATAAGTTGAACTGTAAAGAATCAGAAGTTTTGAATAATGTGACCTAATTTGGCCTGAAGTTTACCTTTGCAGTATTTATAAACAAATAGAGTGGTAAGAAAACAGACAAATGTGAAATGATTACAAGAGCTTATTCAGTCTGCTTAAGAGAAAGAAGCTTATAAAGTTCCTAAGTTCATTCTAGTCAAATAATTGTTTAATATTACTCTTATCTTTTAATTAAAGAAGACCCAGTAACACTTCTAATTGAAACCATTTTTAGGTGTTAATGTATGCATATAGTATGTATACATATGGCAATAAAGTTATACTTCTTTAGAACTAGTACTCTAAAAGTGCAGATAGATTTCCCCTTGGTGCCAAATCATGAATTTTGATGGTCCTTTGATGGGTTTGTTTATTAATAAGAAAGATGAGTGCCTATTACGTTCAACAGAAATGTTCAAGGCCATTGAGATACTGTGACTGACCACTGGATGTTTCTTTTCTCAAGGTTCTGATCATCCCCACTGTCTGTCATATAAACTAGAGCTTGGATCTGACCAAGAAATTCCCTCTGATTGGTACCCATTTGCTACTGTTCAGTTTGTTACGCTTGACACCTGTGCCTCAAGGACAGAGGTCAGGTCTCTGGGCTTGGAGAGTGATGTCCAGCCTCAGAAGCATGTGTACCAGCGAGCTTTCTACAATATCCAGGTATATACCCAGTGTCTTTGGTTCAAATTGGGGCAGATCTAAGCCTGGTAGTGGACCTTTTCAAAATGGTGTTCTTCCATTTAGTAAGTATCTGTTGAACAGGCACAGTGGTGAGCAAGTAAGCTCTGCTCCTGTGGAGCTTATCTTTGAGTAGTGAGAGACAAAAAATAATTCGGAGGCAAATAATTTCGGAGAGTGACAAATTCTAAGAATCAAATCAGATATGGGCTAGTGAGTGGACTTTCTTATCTAAGACATTCAGAGAAGGCCTCAATAAAGAGGTGACATTTGAGCAAAAGACAAGGAGCCAGTTGACTGGTTAATATTCTAGCTAATTAAGAGATCATTCTTGGTGAATTAGAAACTTCCAGTGTGCCAAAGACTGGATAGATGGTACTTGGGAGTATAGTCTATCACATGTCTAGCCAGATCTGCAATACACAGATATATTCTGCATATAGTCTATGAAAACTCTTAAGAATGATGGTTTCAGTCCTCAACAAAATAACCTGGAGGAAAGGACTGTAAATGTAGCTATGCAAAGGAAAGCAGTGTGTCTTAACTATGGTTCTCTTATTCGAGGGTAGAGTGACTCTGTAGAATTGATGTTCAAAGGATGAGGTGGCTACAGCCCTTGCCTCACGTATAAAATAGGATTGCATAAGCGATACTGCCATTTTGTATTTGTTAATGTTGCCCATGTTTTTGCTTTTGAATAATAGGTTGAAATAGAAAAGAAATGGATTAAAATCGATGGAGAAGACCCAGATAAAGCTGATGACTGCGTAACTCAGTAGGAGCAGCAAGAGAACTTGACCACGACCCACTTTTCAAATCTGTAATTCCTGAAACCTGGTGTGGTGCTATAGGATAAAGCACTGAACTGGTAACCACAAGATCAGCAGCTGAAACCCGCTAGCCACTCTCAGAAACCCTTTACAGAGTCAGAACCCACTCAGCGGCACACAGCAACAGAAACCACACCCAGCTGTGCTCAATAGTGAAAATGATTTCAGAGTAGAAGGTTTAGGACAGGACCAATGGCTCTGATTAGAGAAGTTTAGACCTGAAATCAAATGATTTATATGAAGGTAAGTCAAAAAGTATTGCTACAAAAATTTCACAGAAACCTTTATTAACAAAAATACCAAAACGTGAAGCTAGTGTTTCCTGACACAGACTCCATCTAGGTCTATACACGTGGGAAGGCAGTGTTTCTATCTCTCTTTCTCAGAGAATTTTGCACTCTTGGATTTACATCATGTCAAACAACAATTTTCACAACGCTGAGGGACTCAAATTATGTTCTTTTTAAATGTTCTTTAAGTTTTAGGAACAAAAATATTCTGAAAATATATATAGGGTAGATGGTTAAGATTTCCAAATGAAATTATCATAGGCTAGCCCTTGGTACTCTCAAAGAATGAGTAGGTATGGTGTGATGAAAAGAAGAAAATTAGTATAATTTTCCTGGCTTTTTTCTCACCAATGAAGTTTTCTATTGAAAAAAAAAGAAAAGAAAACTATTTCCTAATAAGTCCCCATGCTTGTCCTGTGTCCTTCAAGAAAATCTATGAAGATTACCCCTTTGTAATCACAATAAATAGTCACTGTAAACTTTTGAGCTGGGCCTTCTGTCTTGAATTTAACTGGCTTAGCAGATCCTCTTGGAAGCCACTGTTTTGATTGGGCCACTGTTTTTTTTGAAGGCACCCTAATGAGACTAAGACAAGTATATTAATAAGAGAGCTTGTCTGCAGTCATCTCCATCTATTGATCACAGAGACATGCATAAACACATTTTGTTAGAATAAACCCATGCATGTATGAACTGGAAACCTTGTAGTAATACTCTTTAACTTACCTTCATGTTTTATGCTTTTGTTAGGTTTGTGCTCCAGGGCTTGAATCAAAACTGTTTCTATAACTGTGTAGAGTGTTTTTTGCTTCCTATTGACGCCCAAAGGCACTGTTAGTCTAGGTATGACCCAGGTTTCAGGTTGCCTAAGTGGTTTTTGATGTTTGGTTACTCTGTGGCTTATTTAATTTTTTTTGTTGCACTCTGGATTACAGAGGTGCCGTATTTGTTACCCTCAGTCTACATCTCTTCTTGCTACATTGGCACTGACTGATACAAACAGTGGAGCAACCACAGGACGTATAAATCAAATCAAAATGCTTCATTTTCCTCTCGTGCTCATCTCTGAAATATGACTTGGTGTCGAATGATGTTGATAACCATAATCAAAAATGGAGATTTGGAGGTATCCATGATTTTGGGTTTTTGTATCTTCCTTTTACCACGTTGGTAAGCAATCATGGGCTATATTTGATACTGTCTTTCCCCCCACTGTATTGTTATTGTTTTATTCTGGTGTGCATTACGAAGAAGCCTTGTCTGTTATTATGGGGATTTTTTTTAGTGTAAAGTCTAAACCACGTTGCTTTTTTACTTGGAGGGATTCCTTTAGAAATGGAATTCTGGTATTAGACGTTAGTTAAAATATTTGTGTATATTAAAGATGAATTTTTAAGGTTCGCGAATATTGTTTTCAACAGTAGAGATTCTAAGAATGGATGCCGATAAAGGATTTTTGTAAGTAACACAGCCTTTATTAAGTAGAAGTCTAAATCATATTATGATTTTATGCTAATTTTGCTATTATGCTATTTTGTGCTAACTGGCTAATTTAGAGTATTTTTCTTTAAAAGATGAGCAAAATAAAAGATGCTAGATTATTCTGTCTTGATTTCTAGGAGGCAACAATTCTTTATTCAAAGTCAGGAAAATGACTATAATTGTTTGGTTTCTAATGAAAAGCCAATGACATTAACCATTACAATTCTATTTGTAATTTGCTTTTAGTAATTACAGTGAAAGGTAAAAATTTTAGATTTCTGAAATCTATATATTCTAGTCTTTCTGCTCCTTGGAAATGCTACATAGGGTTGTTATGAGTTGGAATCAACTCTACGGCAGTGGGATTGGGGTTTTTTTGTTTGTTGGTTTGTTTGTTTGTTATATTCTAAGTATTATTTTAGTCTGAAAAGCAAATCTTCCATACACTTTCAATTTATGTTGAGACTTAAATATAATTAGGTATTTTTCTCTATTTGCTAAATTAATTTTGGGTCAGAACTGGTATAATATTCTTTCAAATAACCTTTATTTGTTGGTCCACAGAATTTATTTCATGTTTTATCTAATAATTGTATTATAATTGTGTGTTAACCTGTCCAGACACACATTAAAATAAATGTTTCTGATGGTCTGTATCAAATCAGCTTTTCATTATTTTTCTGGAAAGTCACTTATTGTTGTTATGTGCCATTAAGTCAGTTCTGACGATCATAGAAACCCAGGTTAGGCTTTCCAAGGAGCGACTGGTGAGTTTGAACTGCTGACCTAGCAATTCAAACCACCCATGTCCAGTGCTTATCCTACAATGCCAAAATAGGGCTCCTAAAATGCACTTCTTGTTGTTATTGTTAAGTGCCTTTGAGTCAATTCTGACTCATAGCAACCCAGTATAGGGTTTCCCAAGGAGCAGCTGGTGAATTTGAACTGCCAACCCAGAAGTTCAAACCGACCTTGCGGTTCAGTACATTATCCCACAGCACCATATCAGGACTCCACTAGAACTGCTCTTTTTAACCTCATTGGAGACAATACTCATACCGTCATATGCTTGAGGCTCACTGTTGCTGCTGCTGCTGCTGCTGTTGTTAGGTGCCATTGAGTCAGTACCAACTCATAGTGACCCTATCTATGTACAACAGAATGAAACACTGCCTGGTCCTGGACCAGCCTCACAATCATTGCCATACTTGAGCCCATTGCTGCTGCCACTTTGCCAATCAATCTCATTGGGGGACTTTCTCTTTTTTTCCAACGCTTCACTTTACCAAATATGATATTCTTCTCCAGTAACTGGTCCCTCCTGATAATATATCCAAAGTATGAGAGACGAAGTCTGGCAATCCTGGCTTCCAAGGAGCATTCTGGCTGCACTTCTTCCAACAAAGATCTGTTTGTTCTTCTAGCAGTCCATGGTACTTTCAATATTCTCCTCCAACACCATAATTCAAATGCATCAATTCTTTTATGGTATTCCTTATTCATTGCCCAACTTTCACATGCATATGAAGTTATTGAAAATACCATGACTTGCATCAGACATACCTTAGTCCTCAAACTGACATCTTTGAGCTTCAACACGATAAAGAGATCTTGTGCAGCAGATTTTCCTAATGCAATATGCCATTTAATTTCTTGACTGCTGCTTCCACAAGTGTTGATAATTGATCCAAGCAAAATGAATTATTTGACAACTTCAATCTTTTCTTCATTTGTCTGAATGTTGTTTATTGACCCAGTGGTGAGGATTTTTGTCTTCTTTACATTGAAATACAACACATACTGATGGCTGTGATCTTTGATATTCATCAGTAAGTATTTTAAGTCCTCTGTGCTTTCAGCAAGCAAAGTTGTATCATCTGCATATCGCAGGTTGTCACTGAGTCTCCCTCCAATCCTGATGCCACGTTTACTTCATATAACCCAGCTTCTCAGATTATTTGCTCAGCATACAGATTGAATAAATATGGTAAAAGGATACAACTCTGACACACACCTTCCATAAAAAAAATTTGGTGTTCCCTTGTTCTGTTCGAACAACTGCCTCTTGGTTTATGTGCAGTTTCCTCATGAGCACAATGAAGTGTTCTGTGAATACTCATTCTTCGCAATATTGTCCAGCTTGTCATGATCCACACAATTGAAAACCTTTGCATTGTCAGTAAAGCACTGGTAAACATCTTTCTGGTATTCTGTTTTCAGCCAACATCCATCTGACGCCAGCAATGTCTCCCTCATTCCACGTCCTCTTCTGAATCTGGCTTGAACTTCTTAAAGTTCTCTGCCAATGTATGCTTGCAGTCATTTCTGTATTACCTTTAGTAAAACTTTACTTGATGTGATATCAGTGATACTGTCTAATGATTTCCATATTCCGTTGAGCCACCTCTCTTTGGAATGGGCACAAATACTAATCTCTTCCAGTCAATCGGTCAGGTAGTTGTCCTCCAAATCACAGATAAATGAATGCTTCCAGTGTGGCATCAGTTTGTTGAAAGATTTCAATTTGTATTCCATGTATTCCTGGTGTCTTGTACTTTGCCAGTTCCTTCAGTGTACCTTGGACTTCTTCCTTCAGTATCACTGACTCTTGATCAAATGCTACCTCTTGAAATGGTTGAACATTCATCATTTCTTTTTGGTACAGTGACTCTGTATATTCCTTCTATCTTCTTTTGATGCTTTTTGCATCATTCTGTATCTGGCCTATAGAATCCTTCAGTACTGCAACTTGAGGCTTGGATTTTTTCTTAAGTTCCTCAGCTTGAGAAATGCTAAGCATATTCTACTCTTTTGGTTTTCTATCTCCAGGTCTTTGCACATTTCATTATAATATTTGA